CCCTAATTAATTCTGAATCTGTTGGCAGACTTCAGTCATTTTTGGCAAATGGAGTTGGGGGGAGGGAATGTCTCAAAAATAATTAAGTTTCTATGAGCTCCATAGAACTAGGCAACTGGAAGGGAGACAGAGGCAGTAAGAGTCCTCTGTTCAAAGGGAAGATGACAGTGTAAGCTCAACCTTTATTTAGGCACCAGAACAGATGCAGGAGAGAGACCCAACGCATGTTTTGACTGTGGAGGGAGGCTGTGCTTGGAGCTCACAGCCAACCATCGGGAATTAGCATCGGGCGTTTGGATGCCTGTGAAAACCCTTGCTTGTGTTGCCTTCTGAGTCTTCTTTGCTGACATGAGGTGGGTGATGGTTGCTGAAGCTGCAGTTGTTCTCCTGGGCTGGGTTTTGTGGTGCAGCTTCTCCGCAACTTCCAGTTAGTATGGCTTGTCCCCATCCCCTCCCGATGGACTGAGCTCCTGCCCGGCCTGAGCTGCACCTGCGGTTAACGGTGTCCACGTGGGCGAGGAGGTGGGTAGCGGTACACCTGTTCTCTCCGCTGGTAGGGCCGTTGGGAATTACCTTCATCCTGGACAAAGATCAGATCTCAAATTGGTCAGTATCAAAGGACAGCCTTCACGTGCAGGTTTTAAACTGTAGTGGAATGTAGCTTGCCATTCAGATCCTCTGTTCTGAATGATACAGAGGTGGTGGTGGTTTAAAATCCCTGCAGATGTTAACCACTCCTTGATTAGTCCCTATTGGGATAATTGAAAGGATCCTTCATTCTTCCTGTGGCACTGTAAAACCAATGAGTAACGCTCGTTCACACTGAGAGCCGAAGTCCCTGTATTTTACCTGCCAAATAAGCTTTGCCCTCTGTGTTACCATTATGCCTCCGTAATGCTTTATTCGTGAAAATGCCTGGGTTTTGGTTTAGTTGGCTCAGTTCCCAGTCTGATCACATGCTACATCACTGGATCAGGTCCTGCAGGTCAGCCAGTTCTGTGCTGCTTTCCCATGGGATTTCGAGTGCCTTCCGAGCAGCGAAACTGCCACCCGCTTACTGCATGAACGTGCGTTTGCTGCCCGGTGCAATTCATCGCCCGTCGGGGAGAAGCGCAGGATCGGTCCTACAGCCTGAAGGACAAGTATTTCCTT